AGTTAAGGACTTAATAATAACAGAGATGGTCATACCCCAAACCACTGAAATCTATAAGAATTTTTGCTTTTAATTCCCATGGAACAGGCATGTAGACCTCTCTGCTGAAGCACCCAGTAGTGTCAGGCTGTTGGTCCTGGAAGACCAATCTATTCAGCATGTAGCTGAAGTACTATGCAGGGGCTGCATCTCCAAGAAAGCAGATCTCTTATGCTGTTTTAGGAATGTAGGAAATGCCCTTCTTAATTTGATCAAAACCATTCCTTTCTCTGTGTGTCCTCCATCCATGTGAAATGCAGTCTTGGTGACTGTAAAGATTGTCTCTTGGTCTTGGGACTATAGTGGGGGAAGGATCAAAAAAAACCCCAAACCAATGGCATTGTGTTCCGATTAGGTATCAGTGGCCTTTTCCCAGTCTGACTGCATAGGGTAGATGCTGAAAGGCAACTCTTTTTCCTGATGGCCCATCTAGAAACTATCAAACTCCAGTCGTACTTGAGGCTTGGACACTCTCCTGTAACATTTCAAATATCTTTACACACTGGAAAATTTGTTCTGGACGGCTGAATCCTTATGTTCTTTTCTCTAAAGAATTAAGACTAGTCAATGGGGCAAGGTCCACCAACAGGCTTGAGCAGTATAAACTGTATCATCAGATATTTAGATGCTGTGATGCTTTGTGGAATTCGAAGATGTCTTTTCTCAGTGGAGAAATATGAGTTCCTTACATGCTTCCTGGGAGCATGGGTATGGGATGAGATATACAAAGCCTACAGGCTGAGTGGGAAGCTACCTAAGAATGCCAGTAAGAAACTCAAGAAAATATAAGACTGTGCCTCTGCTAAGAAATCACAGTCACAAAACTGGCACTAAAATCAGTGTTTTCTAACAACTGCCTGCAGGAGGACAAGTTCTGTCTACTCATTTATTGTATAGTCTGGTTGTTAAGAGCATGCATCTGGGATATGGTATGTTACCCATATCAACCAACTGCCAGAATTTCTCTTTGGTAGACTATTTCGTGTTGCAGAGTGAGTTATTTACTTGTCACATCTGCTCCACCATGACTGAAAATACCTAAATATACCTTGGAAGAGAGAAAAAGACTGACCTCCAAATAACCAGCAAACAGTCTGGTGCTTGTGGCCCTTGGCTTTGACATCAGGTCAAATCCAACTTGGACACAGTGGATAATTGAAGGCAAGCCTGCACCTTGCCCACCTCTTCCTCCAAGGTCTAGCAGGCTGGCTTGGAGAATGCCTCGCAGATCAGGTCCTTCAGGCAACGTAGGATGGGCATAGCTTCATGAGAGAAACATGGCATAGCAGATACCTATGCCCTCGAAGACCTTAGTAGCTTTAACTAGAGAGTTAAAGGGTTTGAGGAATTACAGTGAAGTCTGAATTAATGCATTTATCTGCTAGAAAGGCTAGATAAGGTAATGTAAATTCCAGGATTTCAAAATCTGTGGTATTGGACTTAAAACAATGCATTTAAAGTTTTTATTTTTAAATCCATTATTTTAAAGCAATCTTACAAGTAAAACAGATAAATCTGAAATACTTTTTATTCATATTTTCAAGCTCATTTTGAATTGCTTGGGCTAGAAATTTATTTTTCTCCTTTAAAAAGACAAACTAAGCTCCTCATTTAACCACAAAACTCTAGAAATCACAGATATAAAACAACAATAAAAAATTTTGAGATTTATAATAAAAGGAGGAGAATTTGACATTACAGATTTTTGAAACAACATAAGATTAAATTTGGCTTAATGGTGATATGGGAATACTCAGCTCCACAGATGTGAAATGCAAAGGAGGACACAGATCCGAGACTGACTGGTCAGTCCTTACATAAGTAAGACGCTGCTTCGGGAGTCCCTGATTTTCCTTGTTTCCTGGTGCAGTGGCTGGCCATATCCCCTAGGGAAAGATAGATTCTTTTCTCTGCTGGCATTCCAGAGCTTCCTAACCAGCAGCTTGGCACAGAAGGAGGAGAAAAGAGGGTGGAAAGGACTGCTGTATCTTTTCTCCACAGCAGATATGTGGGTAAAGTCTTCAAAACAAGTTCAAGCTGCCTCCTGCTCCAGGGCTAATTGAAACTACTTGTCCACAGGAGTTTCCAAGTTACATTTTTTCTTAGATAATCTAGGTGCAGTTGAGCATCTCAGTATTCCCCAATGTGCTGCAAACTCTATAGTTTAGTTCTAGGTAAGGTAAAAACTAGAGAGTTTGAATATGGGCCTTAGTAACTAAATGATCACAGATCTTTGCAAGCTTTTGGTATGACAGATCCCTATCCACTTTATGACTTCATCTTGTACTCTCTGGATAGAGCAGGCTATCATTCCAAAATGCATGGCTTGCTAAAAATCCCAGCCAAGTTATAACTGGATTCCACGTACTGATTTATTAAACTGGAGTTTTCATAATTTTCACAATCATCAGTGTCAGTCCGTCCTTCCGTCACATAAAAATAAAATGTGACCACTTGATTAGACCTTTCATCTGGCAGGAGGACTCATTTCCCACCTTGCCTTAACTGTGGCCACGTGCCAGAACATGCTTATACTGGGTTGAAACTGAACTATATATGAATTCCCACACACGTTTTGTTCTGTGCTTCCCTGACTTTAAATCTAGGACACAGTATAAACCAGCTGTGCAAGCCATTGTCTTGTGAATCAGCTTCTCGCTGAAAGAAAACATATCGCTCCAACAAACTGGCAGGACTGCTAGGTGGTGGTTGCCTAGAGAGAAGCCATCCGAGCTGCCACACGCACAAACTTGTTCAGGCTGGTAAGCGTTGAACTTTGCCTTTGTTTAAATCATCAACAGAATCTAGAATGAAGTGAAATGAATGCACTCTGGAATATTTAAAGAACAAGGCAGTTCTATTTTTTGTATAACATCCTAACTCTTATTGAATAGTTTAGTCAGAATCTCCTTTTCAAGCTGCTTCCTTGTTTCTCTGATGTGATGGATAAGGAATTTAAAAAACAGTAAATGACGTGGGTTTTGAAGCTGTGTGTTAAAATGCCAGAAGGAAAAAAAAAAAAAAAAAGACACCACCACAGGTTATAGATTAGAAGGACAGAGGCTGAGACTTGGTAGGTTTTGCCTGAATATAAATCAATACTGAAAGATTGTAAAGAGAACAGATGTGTTCAGTAGTGGCGCTGGCTTCTGTAATTCTGCCTAATGTTGCGGTGGACAGATTTATTCCACCCGCAGTACTGAAAATACATTTGACACGTTCCACACAGGGTATCTGTTCTCAGCTTCGGCCCGTGCGGCACGTCAGCCAGCTCCGGGGAGCCCCAGCTCATTCCGGAGCCATAAATCCCGCGGCCACCAGGCCCGGCCGGTGACCCCCCGGCCTGGCAGCCGCAGGAGCCGTTGCGGAGGGCGGGAGCACGCACCGCCGGCGGCGGGCCTCTATCCCGCTTCGTGGCCTGTTCTTCCCGTTCCAGCTCCCCGGCACCTGCTCCCTTGCCGCGCCC